AGGAGGCTGAGGCAGGAGAATTGCCTGAACCCAGGAGGCGGAGGTTGCGGTGAGCCGAGATCGCGCCATTTGCACTCCAGCCTGGGTAACAAGAGTGAAACTCTGTCTCAAAAAAAAAAAAAAGATAGCCCTCGAAGTGTGGATACTAAATGTTTTGATTTACAATTAAATCTACCTTGAGGTACAGACCTTAACCAACTGATAGTTGAATAACAGGTGCCTAGACACCATTCGAAAGAAAATAGGACTTTAAGCTTTGTTTGAACACGTGTTAATGAAGAAATGAAGTTTAAATCAGTCCAGATTACTTTTTAAGCCCTTAAAAGAAAAATGTCACACATAAAAAATGGATTAATTACTTTTATTATTATTGTTGTTTGTTTGTTTTTTTGAGACGGAGTTTAGCTTTTGTTGCCCAGTCTGGAATGCAGTGGCCGATCTGGGCTCATCCCAACCTCCGCCTCCCGGATTCAAGTGATTCTACTGCCTCAGCCTCCCGAGTAGCTGGGATTACAGGCATGCGCCATCACGCCTGGTTAATTTTGTACTTTTGGTAGAGACCGGGTTTCTCCATGTTGATCAGGCTGGTCTCGAACTCCTGACCTCAGGTGATCCGCCCGCCTTGGCCTCCCAAAGTGCTGGGATTACAGGCGTGAGCCACCGCTGCCCGGCCTTCTTTTTTTTTTTTTTTCCCTCGTTTTTCTTTTTTTTTTTTGAGATAGAGTTTTGCTCTTTGTTTCCCACGCTGGAGTGCAGTGGCCTGATCTAGGCCCACTGCCACCTCCGCCGCCCCAGTTCAAGCGATTCTCCTGTCTCACCCTCCCAAGTAGCTGGGATTACAGCCACGCGCCACCACGCCCAGATAATTTTTGTATTTTTAGTAGAGAGGGGTTTCATCATATTGGTCAAGCTGGTCCACCCACCTCAGCCTCACTAAGTGCTGGGATTACAGGCGTCAGTCACCACGCCCAACAGAGGTTACTTTTAACTATAGGATTTTGCCCAGTTAAATCAGTCTCCTACCCGACGGATACGTTTCTGTTACAGAGAAGTAGAGAGCTCAGCTGAAAAAACAAACCGTTTTAATTTATGCTTTCTGTTCCTTCCACGTGTATCTGTATTTTGTAATCAGAAGGCTTTTTTTTGAGACTTAGTTTCACTCTGTTGCCCAGGCCGGTGATTGCAATGGCGCAATCTTGGCTCATCGCAACCTCTGCCTCCCGGGTTCGGGCGATTCTCCTGCTTCAGCCTCCCGATAGCTGGGATTATAGGCATGTGCCACCAGGCCTGGTTAATTTTATATTTTTAGTAGAGATGAGGT